TGTATAGTCTATCATGACATTCTTCTTGATATCTGTAAATACATGGGTTTCTCTTCGTCATAAACAAACATGTAGCGTCTATTTTGCACGTTAAACAATGCATTGGTAAGCATGGCGATTGCATTGCATTCAAACCAATGAAAGATATGTATAATTTTAATTTAATAAAAATATAGCATTTAAATGTGTATTTTTACTTTTCTTAGTTTAATACAATTATACAATGGTAAATAAAGTCATTTGTGATTTACATCCATAATTCACATTAAAACTGCACTAAAAGCCCTAAAATTTTGGGTAGTAAAGACATTTTTTCGAGAATTTCGCTACTTTGAGAATGCAGTTCGATAGAAAAAGAAAAACTGATTAAATATGGTGTAAATAATTTATAACATACAACTTATAACATAGCCACGTAGCTTAGGTAAGGAAGGTAATAAAAAATTGAATACTGAAATAAAACCTAATACTAAATCTAAAGTGCATATTATAAAGTCACGTTATAAGTCGTACTAATGTTCCAAGTAGTTATCCAACTTTATCAACGTGACAAAGTCACGATGATTTTGTTAACAGGAACGACGGTCACGGTTATTTCAAAATAATCCCAAGTCTAGTCGCCTCTTACGAGACCCACGGGATGGTATGGATATTCATACACCGCCACTACACGGTAACTGATAACTTCTCAAAACATTTTATTTATAGACAACGTCTTGCAGTCGTCGTTTCTCTAGCGCTCAACTGACTTTCATACAAATAATGCGATATTTTAATTGTTGATATTTTTTTATTTTTGGATAAGAACGTAGTAATGACTCTAAGTTACATTTACCTTCATTTAAAAATAAATGTCTTTAGCCTGACCTACTATACCCTTTGGCTTGACCATGGATCTATCTAAGTTGGTAGAGTTTATTGCCGATGCTTGAGTGGTTAAATCGCTGAACTGATTAAGACGAAATTTGGTACCGAGATAGATTGAGACCATGGTAAGTACATGGGATAGTTTTTACTATAAAATTATCATCAAAGGCAAACAAGCGGGGCAATTATGTATGAAGTATTAAGTCAATGCGGACGAAATCATGGGTAAAGTTAATAATAATATTTTCTTCCTTACTGCTTAATTGATATACAAATGCGAAAGTGATTTTTTTAAATTACTTCTTCACGTTTAACAGTTGGTTTTATTTCTTTTAGCAAAATACCAGTGGCGTGTTAGTTCAGTAGTTTTGATATTACATCACATTCATCTCATGTTGAGGTTATAGAATTACCATGTGATCAAGCCACTGACAACACAAGAATCCTCTGAATTAGTGCAGAAAAACTGGATTGTACAGCGCAAAATCTCGATCATTTAATAAGCGTGGCATCAGCGAATTAAGTAAATATACAAGTGATATTTGACAATCAGCAAAATATTTTACAAAAACTTGCGTTATTGGACACCAAATTAGAAGAATTGGTGACACGTATTTCGGTACCAGTAACAAACATTAATCGGCAGGGCAATAATGACAATAATTTCGGAATTATAAGCAACCTACAGGAACTCACTAGTTTCGAGGAACGTTTAAATAATCTTCAAGCTGAAGAAAATATTATAAAGTTACTTTCTGTAACTTGCACTAAAGGCAAAGGTCGCGCATAAAATAACGCTTACGCATTGGTCGATGCCACGTTCACTCGACAATTTATGACCCAATGTTCTTGGGCTGGAGGTACCAGAGGGGAACCAAAAATATGTTTTAAGGCTTATACTAAAACTATATCATTATTTTTTGAAATAATACACCAATCTGATAATAACTTCACAATACCAGAGTGCGAATCATTTTAAAAAAATGTTATGAGGCATGCTATTTAAAAGAAATGACGCCCAACTGCTGAGGTCTTCTGTTCAAAAGAACAGGTCAAAAAAAGCGAGTGTTGCAAGAAAATAACGGCCAGTCAGTTTAAGAGCAACGTAATGTCCAGAATGTAGAGCCAGAAAATACATCATATCAGAAATAAAATGTCTCACAACTTGATTTGACCAGCTAGATTGGGATGCAGATCCTATGATGGTCGCGTATACCGACGGTCGAATATGTAAAATCCACAGTGAATATTTGATTATTTGCGTCGTTTGATAATTTAAAGTTGTTTTCTGTTTTTCTGTATTTTTTTATGTTAATTTTGTAATCTTTCACCTAAAAATAATTAGAAGGCGAAATAATTAGATAATAACTTCCAGTTAACAGAACCTTTTGACTTCTTAATTATATAGTTATTTAGCAGGCTGCTGCTATTAATTTACAAATTTGAATTTTATTTATTGGTATGTTATGTTGGCTTGCGTTTAATATGTTACAGCTTGTATAATTAAAAAGTAATGAAATAATTTTGTTAACTTCTATTTCTTGCAATTGAAATTGATTTTTTTTTGTTACGATTTTGTATGTTTTATTAAGAACTTTTATATCAAATTCCCAATATCGGAAGTTTCAAATATAAGTTGCCTGTTGTGTAGTAATTTTGTATGTTCTATTGTGAGATTATTAGCTACAGAAGATGTTTCAATATGGCAAACTAAATGATGGTTCGATTTTGTTAATTTACGTTTACGAGATTTAAGTTTTTCCAAAACGAGCAATGTTTCAAAGCTTTGCTTAATTTTGATTTCCAATAAGTGTCGCATTTTGACTAACTTGAAATGTTAATTACGTTCCTGGGATAGTAAAAATTTCTTAAATGTATGAATAAGCGGAGCAAAATATATATTTAAGTTGTATGAAACAACTTACTAACCAACCAATGTGCACTTTATATCAATAATATAATATATGGTTTCAGTTTGCGAAATTTCGTTTTCATGTATCATAAATATATTAAGATATGAAGATTTAATAAGCGTTTCAAAAATATCATTATTTAAGTTTTCAATTCGACTTCCAATTATCTGCATACGTCCCTTGTTGCAATTAGCCGAACGCAATTCAACGAGGTGGTTGTTGTTAGTCAAAAATCACTTATCTTTATTATCAGTTGAGAGAATAAAGGATTTTAGTTGAATCACTGTCTTAAGTTTACTTCCATATTTGTAGCTTTTTATCGTAGGGCAGTTATAACTAGTATCGTTTCTGACACCCGTAACAAGTAAAAGTAATTACTTGAGTAAAAGTAATTACTTAAGTAACGATTTGTATTCTGTAGTTAAGTAATTGCTCCAAGTTAGAACTCTCAGCCAAGTAATAGTCACCATTTCCTTTACTTAAGCACTACCTTGAGGTTATTTTGCATAAAAAATGGAAACTTTGGATAGCATTGAAACGGTTTTTGCTGTTATAGATAATATAGATGATAATATTTTATTAGAGGAGATAGAAGTTACTGAACCTAGAAATTCCAAAGTTTACTTTCGTGATGTGGATCCATTTCGTAACTATTCGGAAGATTGTTTTAAAAAGAGATTTCGTTTCTCCAAAAGCATTGTGATACATATGATTTTACCGAGAATTACTAACTCTTTACAATCAGAGACACAAAGAGGGCTTCCTATAACTCCACTGTGTCAGTTACTAACTGCTTTACGTTTTTATACCACTTGAAGTTTTCAGATTGTATGTGGAGATATGCATATTTCTCAATCGACGACGTGTAATAAAATGAAGAGAGTTAGTCGAGCATTGGAATTGCTAATGCCAGATTTTATTAAGTTTCCTGCAAATTTGAGGAATACGAAGTGTTTAGGCCCAAAAAAGGTAATTTGTACGACATCCAATCACGTTTGACTTCGTGAATCGCCCGATGGTACCGAGTGTCACACGCATTGCGGGGAGGGTAGTCGGTAGGCAGTTACTAGACTCCACAGAATTAGTAATTCATTTATGGGGCAATGTTTACGCTTTTACAACAAAATCCCAGAACATATTCAAAGTTTGTCAATAAACAAGTTTAAAAGTTTTATTAAAGAAAAACTGTACAAAAAGGGTTATTATAATATCAAGGAATACATGGATGAAAATAACCCCTGGGAATAAGGTGATCGCCAACATGCTGGTTCTATGAAAAATTATTTAAAAATTGTATAAACGAAATTATGTTTGAAAAAAAAAGTCCCGCCTGGTTTCTTGCTGGTTCTTCCCAGGACAGAGGTATTTTCCGAACCAGTGGTAGATAAAAAATTACTTTCAATTAGAATTATGTAATAATCGATATTGAATAAAAAATTATACTAATCTATTCTTGTACCGTCGCGTTAAGTGCCCTTTTTTGTGTGTTGACTGTTTTGTTAGTTTTACGTGTCAACGAGGCGTATTTTGAATTCTTATCGCGGCGTAGTATTGGATATCGATCGAAGTAATTTAGTTGTGTTTTTAACGCTGAACCGTGTGACTTACCAAGAGATCGCGTTAGTTCACTATTCGTCATTTGGTGATAAATGAACCCGGGACATTGAATGCTGAACTTTGAACTACTGTCCGTTACTGTGTCGGGTGTCTCGTGTTCGATTCTACGATGAATGTGGAATTAGGCGTGTTTAAGTTATTTAAATGTACAATGACGTTAATAGACTGAAATAGTGACATGAAGAAAGAAATGGTCCAGCGGGGAAGCCTACTGGAGTGATGCAGCATTGTGGGGCAGCCTGGAAATCGGCCGCTGCCGGTCACCTCAGCTGGTCCAGGTCTCAGACACATACACGTCACGAAACACTACTTTCCATGCACCTTACACCCACCTACGGCCTGACCGAGCCTTGGGGCGGCCTTGGATTCGGATACAGGTACATACTATATTTTTCTAGCCTTCTCCCTTCAGTTTAGTATGATAGGACATTCTTTCATATGGCCATTTGGGCCCGACCCGCGTATGACCGTCGAGCTGGCTGCTATGGGCCCCAGCCAAGGCGAACTTTGCAGGGGCAGCTGCGGGCCGTAACACAAAGGAAGATTTCGAAAATCTTGGTTGCATTGGCAGAGCACCTGGACTGAAAAATATTGTAGGAGCAATTGATTGCGCCCACATTAAAAATTACCAAGCCTAGAGGTATTATTCATACAGAGCAGTACCGGAATAGAAAAGGTTATTTTTCATTAAATGTGCAAGTAGTTGGCGGCCCTAATTTGATGATATATGATATAGTAGTTCGTTGGGCTGGCAGCACACATGATAGCCGAATCTTTAGAAACTCACGACTAAATATAAGGTTATGCAATAATGAAATTGATGGGATGTTACTTGCAGATGGAGGATATCCTTGCACTAGGTTAATAATAATATAGTCATAATTTTTTTATTCATAAACGATAAAACTATAATTATATCAATAGTATGTGCCATGTGGTCTTCAAAGCATCATTAATACCTCAATACAATATTGCTAATTTGTTAACAATAAAGTGTTCTTTATTTCAGACATTTATTGACTCCGGTTTCAAATCCCAGAATTGCACAAGAGGAAAGATATAACAAGATGCAAATAAAATCAAGAAATGCAGTGGAACGTTTATTTGGAGTGTGGAAAAGACGGTTTCCATGCTTATAAATTGGTTTAGCAACCAAACTTTCGACAACAGCCAATATTATAATGGCTTGTTCAGTGCTCCACAACATTGTAGTAGAAGTAAATGACTTTTTTGATGTTGAGAACACCGTGGACAGTAATGTACAGCCTTATTATACAACAACAACAAGCACAACAGGTACCAGTGATGGTTTGGTACTTCGAGCAAATATAATTTCACGCTATTATATGTCTTAAATGAATTATAAAATAAAACTGATATTTTCACATTATATTTTATTTATTAACTGGTTATTCTTTATCATATTTCTCTAATTCTTTTAATTTTATTTGCAATTTAATTTTAAACAAATTTTCTTTGTATTCTCTCTCTAAAATTTTAATCTTTTGCTCTTCCTCGTGCATTTTTTTCTTAAATTCTAATTCTTCTTCTATTATTTTACACTTTAATACATTTATTTTATTACTTTTCAAATGTTGGTAACTCTTTTTGATAGTTTTGATTTCCTTTTCCTCTTGAGTAACTTTCATTGTTGCTTCTGCCGTTTTACACTAAGCTTCATTATTAATATCACCTAATAAAACTATGCTCCCTCAAAAACAAAAAACACGTCACAAAATATAATATATGATAGATAAATGCCCATACATGTACTAATAATAAAAGGCATTGTTATACATGCTGGGTATATATAGTTATTTATAATGGATAATCTCTTACCATCAATATCACTATCAATATCCACAGCAATGTTAGTAAGTATATTTTTATCTATATCCATGACTTTGGAATCGAAGGGATCCATACCCATAACTGATAGCCCACCTCCTGTTAAGTGGCGAATATTTTCTTTTGTTTTTGACTCCCTTGCTTGTTCCTTCATGTTATACCATAGTTTTATTAATTGTTTTGTAGATGTCTGAAACAATTAAACATATGGAATTGTCAGTGTCAGAAAAGTGAGTAATTATCATAAAAAGTGATTAATTTTATGTATAGCAGTGCACCGAATTTAGAAAAAATTCTTGAGTTATGAGTCACAATAACCGACTTGCTGTATTTAAAAACACAACTGCTAAGAACCATACTAAAATTTCATCGTAATGTCGTAATTACATCGTGGTCGAATGGCACATTAGCCTACATTTGAACGAGTACATTGAGAGGCGTTGATTCATGCCTCGACGTTAGTCTTTTTGTGATAAATTTTTCGACAACAAATTATATTAACATACTTATTATCGCGAGACTTATCGACCCATATTTAACAGAAAGCAATAGTTATTCGAGTTCAAGAATTACAAGCTGATTTCAACAGAGGGCGCTACGATATCTAATAATAATCATATAAAATTTTATAAAATGGATACAGACAGCAATAATATTACTTATCGTGAACCCTGTAGAACAAGTTTATTAAATGACCTTACCATTATGACAAATAACAATGAAAAAACCATATTTGACCCCACAGTGATGATTACATCGGATGGCTTACATGACAATAGTGACATATTAAATTATTTGAGCGACGAAGTTAAAACACTTACGATGCAACGACAGAGTGCTGATCAAGCGATTGAGAATCTAATTAGCGAAAAGTTTCGTCTCAAGTCTGATCTTCAAAACATAATAAAGACTAACAACGCGTATGTATGACGATTGACGTGTTTTCAAATTACTTTGATTTCTGCCACTATGTAATCCCGAATGGTAACTATGGAACTTTTATGCAACATAGAAAACAAATTAAAAAGCTTTACCTTAAATGATTATTGTATTTTTTGTATTGGAGAAAACGACATTAAAGCAGAGGGGAGTCAAATTAACACAATAAATATGATAAAAGATTCCCTAAAAAAATTACCCACACTAATAAGATAATTTGTGTACCGACATACGTTCTCACAAAGATACGTCAAAATATTCACAAGCAGGCCAGGAAGTACTTTGGCATGAAGAATGTGTAGACGCTTGATGGCACAGTATACATTAAATTGCTTGATATTAGTCGTGCAAAAGTAACTTCAGAGGAAGACTTCAATAATCTTGCCGCCAAGTACTCGCCAGGGTGTTCTCCTCTTTCAAATGCAACACCTCCCAAAAACGAAGATGGCACAGGTAATCTATCTGGTGGATCACAACAAAGTACATCTAAATGTAATTGCCAACAAGAAGTGGTCCCACGCTGTCAACGGGCACCATTATGTTCAAGCAAAGAAGATAAAAGGGTACGTCGTGTTGTGACCAAAAAATAATGGCTTTGGTGATATTTTCGAACGCTTTCTTATAATTGTAAGGATTCATTAAAATAATTAAATTTTACTTTATTCAGTCTTAATTTACTTGATATTATTCAAACTTTTTATTATTGTAGTGTTAACGGTATCATTATATTATATTTGTCTTCTTTGTTTAATTAATTTAACTACTAAGGATTTAATATTATGTATTATCTACTTTGTACTTTGTATAATAACGCAACTATATTAGTAAGTAAATTAGTATTGTTATTAATAAAGTAGGTAGAAAAATGCAAAGTACAAACTTTGTAACATAGATAAGAGTGTATATACGGAAAAGATATTGTTGTTTTTGGTACGATTCGCCAAGTAAGGCAGGCAAAGGTCTTAGACCTTACAGCCATGTGTGATTCAATATTTATAAATACTGCTGGCAAACAGATTTGAACAGACATGATTAAATTTACATTGTTTACTGTATCCCCATTTACATTGATTTTGAGAAATGATTTGGTTACACAGACACAAACAAATTAAATTTTTGACTTTTGTGTTCGTATGGAAATATTACTAAGTTGTGGACTTATTTGTTGAATGTTGATGTTTTGTTATACTCTGTTTCTGGTATCTACTTTTCTAATAGTGTTTTTTTTTTGTTTTTTGATTGTTATCTTTATCAGTCAACTGATGGGATAGTGCAATAATAGTAGAATAGTTGATTTACTGGTTTATGCGAATAGCGTAGTGGTTATTTTATACTTATATTTTGATGTATCTTTTATTATATTTTGTTATTTTATGATTTATATATTTATCTAATATACATATTAAATATAAATATATTTTTAGTAGTTGAAAAATGTCTGATGATGAATATTTTTATTTCATTGATAGTTCAGACTCCTCTTACGCCTCTGGTAATGATCTAACAGATGATTTACTTCCTTTACGCGATCAGTTAAATAATATTTTTCTGCCCTATAATAAATATTTTAACGTTTGTCATATTAATACCCAAAGCATTCCAAGTCACTTTTCTTACTTTGAGGAAGCATTCTCACTAGACTGTGTTGATGCTATCTTAATATCTGAGAGTTGGCTAAAACCATCTATTATGTCGAGTTTACACCCATTACCCAATTTAATTCTTACACGTAATGATCGGACTGAGAAAAGAGGAGGTGGGGTCGCTATATACCTTCGTTCAAATATTCCTTATAAAATTGTTTTATCTTCCCCTTCTCCCTATTCTGCCACTGCTGAGTTTTTATTTCTAGAAATCAACATTATGGGTGCTAGGGCAATTTTAGGTGTTGTATATTGTCCTCCTTCTGTTGTTTACTTTACCTCACTTGAGACGGCTCTTGATACCATTAGATCTGACTATATACACTGCATGATAATGGGTGATTTCAACACTGATCTGTTAAAAAATACTTCTCGTTCCCAAAAACTTCGAGCAATCATTGAATCAGTCGAACTCTGCATTCTCCCACTGGCGGCAACTCATAGAAATACTGACACTGATGACTCGTTGATTGATCTCATCATTACTTCCTCTTCTGATCATGTGATTCAGTTTGGACAGCTCTCTGCATTTTGTTTCTCACGACATGACATGATATAAACTCAAACCTCTAAAACAGAAGCCTATTTTTCTACAGTTACGAAATATTTCTAGAATAAACATTAAGAGTCTCAGGACAGACGCATCTGATTTTGGCCCTTTGGTGGCAGCTTCTAACATCGATGATAAAATATCCTTTCTTAATAATACCATCCTGAATTTGTATAATATTCATGCTCCAGTACATTGGGTAAAAGTTAAGCGTCCTCCTGCTCTCTGGATAACTAAAGGGGTCCAGGTGGCAATGGCGCTGCGAGATCGGTCTTTCCAGAAGTTTAAAAAGGATCGCTCAAAACAAAATTGGTGTAACTTTAAATTGCTAAGAAACAGATGCAATCAGGTGGTACGAAATGCTAAACGCCGCTACATTCATGACAAAATAACTAATTCTTCGCCCACTGATGTGTGGAAATTCCTTAGATCTCTCGGAATTAATAAATGTATTTCCCCGGAATATGGCTCCTCTCTTAATTTGGATGACATTAATCGTCACTTTGTTTCTATTATTTCATTGCACCCTCAAGTCCATTCTCAAACTATTGCTTCTATAGAATAAATGCAGCTCTCCGGATTCCTGACTTTTATTTCGCCCCTGTTACTCAGGATGAAATATAAAAAGCTCTGTTAGCCATTAAATCTAAGGCTGTGGGTTATGATGCAATTAGTAAGCAAATGATATCTATGATACTTGAATACCTACTTCCAGCTATAACACACATTATAAATTATTCTCTGGACTCAGGTCAATACCCTTCTGCATGGAAAAAGGCTTTTGTACGACCCCTTCCTAAAATACCTAATCCTATACTCCCGAAACATTTTCGTCCTATCTCAATTCTCCCATATCTCTCTAAAGTTCTGGAAGCCTGTGTTTTTAAGCAAATATCTGTGTTTATTGCAAAACATAACCTGCTGAATGAATTTCAATCGGGGTTTCGCTCTGGTCACAGCACTACCACTTCGCTTATCAAAGTCACAGACGATATAAGAAAAAGCTTGGATGAGTAGAAATTAACCGGTTCAGTGCGGGTGACACGCCAGGCGTGCCATCGATTACTTTTGTGTGTGGCGTATGACACGCGAGTCGTGTCTTATAAACAATCGTTATAACTTGCTCAAATTGCTGTTTTAGAAAATTTATCCAGAACAAAATATTCATTATTTTGCGAGTAGTTCATGCATGCAGCTTCGTTTCTGGATATTTTGAAAATTTAAAATTTTTTTTTTTTATTGACAACATTTTTAACGTGAACATGGTACTATTTTTACTTTGTGGGTTTTAAATCATGTTATGGAAAAATTTTCTAATAAGTAACAAATAATAGCACTCATTGCGATCACTCACAAACTCAAGTTGTAAATAAATTTCTGGAAAACAAGTCAAAAAAACAATGCGTTTGTCTTATTGTTTAATTTTGCTTAAAATGGTTGAAATGCCGTCTTATTACTATCATATGGTCGAATAGACCTACGAAGTACCATGTGCTCTTGTGATATGGTATAAGGTTTATTTTTGCTTGAAACAGATCGAACCGTTCATGCATAAAAAAAGTTCGCTAATAAAGTCTTTTGTCAATCCGCCGCCGTATAGCGCCGGCGTTTCTTTCCTTTTGAAAACACTTGTTTTGCTATTTTTACTAATTAGACGTTTTCGGATCGACTTTACTTTTACATTTGCATAACATTAAATAATATTTAAAATTTGTAAATATTAATGAATGATATACCTTTTTTTTAAAAAACTAGTACAAAATGTTTGTAATCTCTTCATAAAAAAGTCACTTACTCTGAATTTCAAAAAAACGCGTAAAAACACGTAGTTACCCACTAAAAACAAGTATCCTTCCATTTGTAACTTATGTTTGATGTCAAATAAACTTAATTAGGTCTAAACAAGTAAAAAAAGCATAAAAAAGAACATTACTTTTACACATGGCGGATGGCACACTAAACGTGTCATGAAATATTTGTACGCCGCGACAGCTAAAAGTTGTCGAAAATTGGTGCCGCAAC